CCGCTTTTCTGCCGGGCCGCGCGAGCCGGTGAGCGGGCCCCCCGGGACCCCCCTCCCCCGCACTGTCCCAAAGGTGCCCTCCCGCCGAGGTCCTCGCCAGCGCCGTCGCAGACCCGCCTCGCCGTGGGCGTCCTGCGCCCCTTCCCGCTTGTGACGGGCTCTGGGTTGAGGATGCAGGAAAGTCTTGTCCCATTCCTGAGCTGCCCCAGCCTGGGATGGCTGGGGACCCCCATGCCTGAGGGGTCTCTCCCAAGCCGGTCCCATCCTCCAGGGCCTAGGGGGCTGGGGGAGGCACCGGCACCGGCACCGGCACCGCGCAAGGCCTGGCCTGAAATCACGCGGGCGCCGCCTGGGCGTCCCAGACGCCCCACCCAGAGGAGATCCGTCCTGGGGAGGGTGGGAAAGCAGAATGGAAACGAGAGCCAGGACGGCAGGGACGGGGCCAGGCTGGGAAGAGCTCATGAAGTCCCTGTGGCCTACCTATCCCATCCCCCACCCAGGCTGAGGTCAGCCGGCCCCTGAATGTGGGGGAACCTTTGGAGGCAGAGAGAGGAGGAGGGAGACCTGCCCCAGTTCGAGGAGATCTGGAACGCCCTGTTCCTTCCATAGCCCCTGCCAAGTGCAGAGGTTTGAAGACTTGTCAGTCCCAACCTCAAGCTGGTTTCTGGCAGCTCTTCTGTCCAGAGGAAGCCCTACCACTGCCACCCTGTGTCCTGGGCCCTGCCTCATATGGGGTCTGGGAAGGGAGGGATCTTCAGGGACTGCTCTGGGGCTGGTGGTTCTTCCTTTTCCCCTCACCGTGGGAAAGGAGCCATCCCCTCCACTCAGCACACCAAGACCCTGCAAGAGAGCTTTGGCTCACTCCTGTGACCATGCCTGCAAGCTTAGCGGGGCAGAGAGGGGATTCTGAGGGCCTAGGGAGGGCTCTGGCATCAGATGGGAAGCCCTAAAAACAAACCAAGGTGTGTGTGCAATGTGTGAAGGACAAGAAATGCTATTTGAATTTGTGCCCTGCCCATAAACCCAGCTCCCTGCCACTTGGGCGTGAAGGTAGTCTCACTCTGGGCTGAGTCTCACTCTGAGTAGCTGAGGGCTACTGACGGGTTCCTGAGGGCTGAGGTGGGCAGCTCCTGTGAAAAGCTGCTCACTTCCAGTCGCAGGAAGTGAGAGTGAAGTGTCTCTAGCCGCATTTCTTTCTTTGCCTCAACCACATGCCAGGCAGTGATCATGATTCATGGTGCCCAGTACAAAGGAAAGACCACTTCCCTGCTGGGACAGAATTGGAGCCAAAGCACCCAGCCCCATCTCTGCTCTGCTCTGCTGGACTCTCCTGGAATGGACCTGTCGGCCAGGAAGCCAGGTCACCCCTGGTCCTGGCCTTGCCTGCCTCCCAGGGAACACAGGTGGGTCACTCACATTGATATTATCTTTTGTGCTCACCCAAGGCTGGGTGGGGTGTGTGAAGAGGTCCCTGCTCATAGCGTGGGGGTGGGGGGAGGAGGGTCGACAATGATAAACAAGGGAATAATCCACTCCAATGTGGTGTGAAAAGTACTATTTAGGAGAGAAATAGGGGTACCTGGGTGGCTCAGTAGGCTAAGCCTCTGACTTTAGCTCAGGTCTTGATCTCACAGTTTGTGAGTTTGAGCTCTGAATCAGGCTCTGTGCCGATAGTGCAGAGACTGCTTTGGATTCTCTCTCTCCCTGTCTCTGACTCCCCCCTCTCTCACTTGCTCTCTCTAAAAAATGAATAAAATAAAACATTTTTTTATATTTAAATTTTTTTGTTTATTTTTGAGAGAGAGACAGAGCGTGAGTGGGGGAAGGGCAGAGAAAGAGGGAGACACAGAATCTGAAACCGGCTCCAGACTCTGAGCTATCAGCACAGGGCCCAATGCAGGGCTCGAACTCACTAACCGGGAGATTGTGACCTGAACTGAAACCAAGAGTCAGATGCATAACCGACTGAGCCACCCAGGTGCCCCCAAAATAAAACACTTTTTCAAAAAAGGGAAACAGGGGCATCTGGGTGGCTCAGTCAGTTAAGCATCAACTTTGGCTCAGGTCGTGGTCTCACTGCTCATGGGTTCTAGCCCCGCATTGGGCTCTGCTGACAGCTCAAGAGCCCGGAGCCTGCTTCGGATTCTGTGTCTCCCTCCCTCTCTGCCCCTCCCCACCTCAAAAATAAATAAAACATTAAAAAAAAAAAAAAAAAAAAAAAAGGAGAGAAATAGAGGAAGAAGGCCTAGCCCAGCCTGGGGTGGGGGCCAGGGGAGCTTCCCAGGAGTGCTGTCAGGACTGAATCTTGAAGGACCAACAGGATTCTCTCTGGCTAGGATTTTGGAATGTCCACAGCTTAGTTCTTGAGGAGGGCCCAGTTTACTGGACGAAGGGGCTGGAGGACCAAAGGGACCAAAAAGCTGTGACCTAGGAGTCACTGGGGGTATGGAAGAGGATGCCCTCTTGTGGCAGGCAGAGTTTACAAGGGAACTCCCAGAGGGAGGCCAGGGGTCCTCAGACCTGGGAGGCAGGGCTCCCAGCCAGCAAAGAAAGAGCAAAGGTGCTTGGGGTTTCCTGGGCTCTGGCTGTCCCTGGAGGCCTGGAGGAAGGAGAAACTGGGAAGAGTCAGCCCCATTGAAAGATTCAGAGTAAAGGTCAGAATCCTGGACAAAGTCCCCAAAGGGCTGCCCAGAGAAGTGGCTGCTGAGAAGGGTACTATAGAAACCTCTCTGTAGAGGGGCAGGACAAGCAGGAACAAGAAAGGACCAGAACTGGGAAATGGGGAGGGGCTGGGCTGAGGTCCAGCCTCCAGCACCCCCTCCCCCACATGTCTCCCCTGTCACCCACCTCCTCCCTGCCGCCTTGGGGTCAGTGACAGTGTGCTACTCTGAAGGGAACCGGCAGGGTCCCAGGGCTCGGATGGGACAGGAGTAGAGCAGTGGGGACGGAAAGGGCAGGAGGAGGTGAAGGTTGTGGAGGAAGCCTGGGCGTCCTGGGAGGAAGAGGGGAGAGCAGCGGGTCCGGGAAGGCCAGGGGGGTGGGGGGGTACAAACTGTGGCGAGGGTGTGGAGGGGATATTTGGGCCAGCACAGACAGGATCAGGTGGCGCTGGTGGCCTTTCCATTTGCTGTGGATACAGAAATCCTAGAAGGGACTGTGTCTGAGTCTGAGGTTTGCCCGAGCCCGGAACTGGGCCAGGAGGATTGGGGCTGAGGGATCTCTAGGGCCAGTATCACATGCAGGAGCCAGGATGGCAGGACGCCAGCGCTTACAGCATACGCACGCACACTCTCACTCACCCTGAGGTTGGGCTGAATGGACCACTCACTTTGGCAGGGCTCCTGGGGGTCCTCTGGGGAGGGAGCAGACTTTGTGTCCAGAGAAGAGAGAGATTGGAGCGTGTGAAGGAGGCAGTTTAGGGCGGTTCCCATAGGTGCTATTTTAAAGCACCTGAGCCTGGGGCAGAAGGTGTGGAGCGCTCGGCATGTTGGGAAGATGGGGTTGCGTATTTCTGATAGTTTCCTGAGTTTCCATGGATCTTCCCAGGACCTGGGGCTAAAAGGAAGAAAACTGTGGGAACCGGAGCTCAGGGGATCCATTGGCTTCACTGGGGTGAAGGCTGCCAGAGCCCAGAGCTCTGAGTGCGGGTGAGGTCTGAAGGCCACGGGGAACCAGGAAGCAGGAGGAGAGCCTAGAGAGAGGGGACTGGAAAAGCACTCTGCATTTGAGGAGGGGGTCTTGGGGCTTTGAGGTCTGGTTACGGCAGCTTCTGTGATGGGAGGGTGGCCCGGATGGGCGGTGTGGAGTGGGGGTGAGGTGAGAAACTGAGATAAGACTGAGCCAGATATGGGGGTGGTACGGTTTCGTCTGCATGGTGTGTGACCCCATGTGCATGTGGTGTGCCTGTATATTTGTGTAGCATTTGTTTATCTCTGGGCTTGTCTGCATGTGTCCGTGTAGGTATGTATTTGTACATTTGATGTCTGCATGTGTCTGTCTGTATATGTCTGTGCATGTCTGCATGTGTGACTCTGTGTGTGTGTCTGTGTCTCTAGATTTTTCTGTGTGAGCGTGTATCGGTGTAAGTGTGCCTGCACATACGTCTGTGTACCTGTGTGGTTCTGTCTATGCAGTGTGTGTGTGTGTGTGTGTGTGTGTGTGTGTGTGTGTGTCTGTGAACATGTATCTTGGCATATGCCCATGTGTGGCTGTGTATGTATCTGCATGTTTCGGGGTGGGTGGAGGGGTTGCTCAGAGAAGACCTGGCAGGTGGTGGGTCATTATCCAGCATCACTGTAGAACTTGACTCTGTCATGGGCTCCCTGTGAAAGGAGTAAGTGCCAAGGGCCTTTGGATGAGACCTGAGCCTTTTCCCGAAAGCTGCTGGTTTGGTGCCCTTGGAGGACTATTCTGTGTGTGCTCCTTTGACTACACTCAGCACCGGCTCACCCACCTAGGCAGTCTCAACAGCAATGACGGCAGAGCCGGCAGCGTTGTGAAAGTCTGTGTTTGTGTGCAGGAGGCCTGCGTATGGATGTTTGAAAATACATCTGTGTGTGCCTGCGGGGGCATTGGGACTAGGCTGGCTCTAGAGGTCTGTTCCATTCTACAAGCGACTACTGAGTGCTTGCTGTGTGCGGGAGGGGACCCCAAGACTGGGCCAGGAAGTACCACCCGCTGACCACCAAACAATGTAAGTCTAGGAAGAGTTCCACCCACCTGCCCTGTTGCATTGTTGGCTCACCTACCTGCCCCTCCTGCCAGGCTGGCTCTGGGAAGTGGGTGAAAGGAAATGCCAAGGCCAGCGTGTTTGCCTCTGGCCATCTCCTAGGGGGCGGTACACTTGGTGATACCTAGTGCTGGGGCAAGAGGAAGGAATGGTTTCAGCCACCCAGGGAAAGTGGCAGGTGAACACGGGGAGGGTCGGCAGCTCCATTCTGTCCCCTCCACAGGTGGCCCAGGCAGTGGCAGCCGTGACAGTGAGGCGGTGACAGCAGAATTTGTGGCAAAGGATGCCCCAGGTCCCGGAGCGTGCAGAGGGCTGCTGGGCCTGGGTAGTGCTGCTGGCCTCCCTGGTGACCCAGGGCCTCACCCTGGGCTTCCCCACATGCACTGGCATCTTCTTCACTGAACTGCAGCATGAGTTCCAGGCCAGCAACAGTGAGACCTCCTGGTTCCCCTCCATCCTGACAGCCATGCTCCACGCTGGGGGTGAGCAGCCTGGGGAGGGCCCAAGGGAGGGTTGAGAAAGAGCAGGGGGTGAGAGAGGAAGCCACAGTCTCCCTGGCCTCCTGGATCCCTCTCTCTGCGACCACAGGCTTTGTCTCATGGGGTGAATTCCTAAGATGTCACCTGATTTCAGCAGGGCCAGCCCCCCTGGCTGGAATCCCGTAGGTCTGGGCTGGGCAGGTCTGGGCTAGGTTGGGCTGGGGAGGGGGAGAGGGCTAGAGGCTCCTGGGATACAAAGCCAATCCTCTCAGTGGCTGGGGGATCAATGCGGACTGTAGGAATGTCAGGCAGTCAGCAGACTTCAGGAAGAGACACTTGAGTGATCTCTCTGAACCTGTTTCTTCCTCTGCAATATAGAGGTAATGCCCAGCACCCTACCCACCTCCTACATGGGATCATAGGGAAGATCACATGACTCCCCGGAAAGTAGTATTTGGAGGCCCTCATTAGAGTCTTCAGTATGGGAAAGGGGGCTTGAGGTACACACCAGGTGCAAGATGGGGGCAGGGCAAGAGCCCCGTCTCTCACCCTGAGGCAGAAGGGCTGGGGAGGTGGCCGGGAAGGCAGTGCCCCACCTCATTTCCTGTTTGGCTCCTCCAGGAATGTGACCCCCTCACCTTGTGAAGGGGGAAGGCCAGGGCTGCCTGCGAGGCTCTCTACAATAGACTTGGGCTCAGGGGCCTGCCCCTGGCTCCTGAGAGCTCTATCACGGAGACTCCAGAGACAGTGACCTCCTCCCGGTGTCAGGGTGGGGGCCGGTCAACTGCAGCCAGATCTCCCGGTCCTCAGGACTCTCCCCATGGGTGTGCTTGCTTGCCTCAGGTGACCCCATCTCCCTACCAACCTCCTGCCACTCCCTCCACCTGGTACCAGCAGCCTCCTTGTTATTCCAGGTCCTTCCTTCCAATTGGGCGGGAGGTCAGACTGGGATAGATGCCCTCACTGAGGTGATCCCTGCACCTGCCGCCCCAGGGCATGGGCTCGGGGCCCTGGGAAAGGCTGGGACTGGCCCAGACCGCATGACCTTTTCACCTACAAGGCTGGAGCAGAAGTGGGAACCTCAGGCAGTTCCTTCCATGCTTCCGGAGAGGGGTCTGCGTCAGGTACTGGGAAGCCGGCACCCAGTGGGGACCCCCACTTCTCCACCAGCTTTAGACTCACCGCCCCCTGGCAGGCACACCAGCCCCTCAGTCGGCCTGGGATTCCTGTCTGCCTCACATACATACACCTTTAGCCCATACTCATTCAGAGTATTGTAGACATTTTAAACTTGAATGTGTCCTTGATCCCAGGCACTCCCTGCCCCACCCATCTTAGAGATGAAGAAAACAAGCAAGCACAGAGTACAGGGCATGCTCAGGGTAGCAGAGTGGGTTTGGGGAGCAGTGCCCCTGCAGAGGAAACCCCCTGCCTCCCGGCACCCTCAGCTGGCACAGGTCCCAGCCGCACCCCGAACTCCATGACTCAGGACTTTTCCAAAGTCAGGCCAGAATTTGGGGTGGGGAAGATGGCAGAAGTGTGGGACAGCAGTCATGTTCACTGCAGAGGCTTGCCTCTCTATAGCGGCCTCTGCTTGATTATCTCTGAGTATGGGCCACTCACTTCCTCTGTCACTCCCACACTCATACTGGCTCACACCCCCCTCTACCCCAGAGGCACACATGCGCACGCGCACACACACACTTCCCTTGTCCCTTTGGCTGTGCTCTGGGAGAGTAACTCTGGAGAAACTCCATTATGTGTCCTTGAGGGCAGGGCACCTGGTGAATGAAGCCCTGCCAGGTGAGGAGAAGCAGCCAGCCAGGACTGGCTGCTTTCTGCCCTGGCTCTGGAGTCGTGAGAAAGCAGCTCGGGATGGGGGTGGGGTGGAAGAGAACAGGCCCTTCTCCACCAGAAGCCAAACATCTGAGTGCAAGACTTTGTGTTGGCTGGATGTGATGGGGGTAGGGGGAGCGGGCACCCCACCCAGTGTTCTCCAGGGTCCCAGGCTGCCCACCCTGGACGTGATGGAGCATAGTGGGAGGACTGTGGCCAGTCCTCTTGAGAATGGGAGGTAGGCAAGGGCCTGAACACTCGTGGGACCTCCCCTCGCAGCTGGTCAGATGTCATCCAGTGTGACCTCCTGTAGGGGAGGAAACTGAGGCACAGAGAGGGATTGCGTTTGCCCCAGCCCAGAGCCAGCCTGTGGCAGGGTGGCAATCAAAATCTAGGCTTACAGGCCTCAGGGCTGTGCCCTTTAAGCTGCCACACTAGTTCCTGCCGGAAGCACCTCCCGACGCCCCTGTCTGCCTCCCTGCAGATCTCCTCACTCAGCTGCCGCCTGCTGGCTGCCTCCTCACCCCTGCCCTTCTCTGCTCCTCCTCACAGGACCCCTATGCAGCATCCTGGTGGGACGCTTTGGCTGCAGAGTGACGGTGATGCTGGGGGGCGCACTGGCCAGCCTTGGCATGGTGGCCAGCTCCTTCTGCCACACCCTTAGCCAGCTCTACCTCACGGCAGGATTCATCACAGGTGACTGTATTCCCACTTCTAGAATTTCTGGGTGCCTCCTAAAAAGTGCCAGACGTAAGTGCAGGCAGTGTGCCTTATCTTCTGGGGCTGCTTCTAGTCACACGAGGGAGAAGGACAACGAACAGATAAATAAAGAAGGATTGTTGCTGATCATGACAAGCACCTGAGAAGACAGGACAGCTGATATGATCGTGTCCTGGCTCGGGATGGGGGTGGGCAGAGATTCAACAAGCAAAGAGGTAAAATATCTAGAACACCCCATGTAGAAGGTAAAGCAAGGGCGGGAGAGGTTACTACTTTCAACAGGGCAGTGACGGAAAGCCTTGCAGAGAAGGGGACATTTGGGCAGAGAACTAATGGGGAGGTGAGGGAATCTGCAACCAGGCCCTTGGGGAAAGAGCATTCCAACAGCAAGGGCAAAGGCCCAGAAGCGCCCAGCAGGCAGTGAGGTGGCCGGTAGGGTAGAAGCACACGAGTAAGGGGGTCAAAAGGTGGGGTGGCGGCTGGATGGGGGGTTCAGTAACATCATCCAACTGCCATTTGTAGAGCACCACTCTGGCTCCTGTATTGAGCACGGCGGGGGAGGGGCGCACCAGGTTGGAGCAGGAGAACAGGTACAGACAGGAAGTGGCTATACCTTCAACCAGGGCAATGTGATGGAGACGATAAGTGGTCAGGCTCAGGACTGCAGGTGAGGTGCGGAAAAGAATCAAGGACAACCCAAGCTTCTAGGACCCAAGAAGGGTGACACCAAGGTTTTTGCCCCAAACCACCAGAAGGATGAAGTAGCCTTTAACTACAATGGGGAAACTAGGGGAGGAGCAGGTTTGCGGGCGCTTGGGAAGCTCAGGTGTGGACACATCCAATCTGAGCTGCGATAGGCAGTTAGGGATGAAGACATGGCTGGCATTCAGGTCTTGAGGCGAAGTATCATCCTGCTCTCCCTGAGGGAACAAGGGTGGGTGGCTGAGGAGGCCTGAACACTGAGTCCCAGGACCCTGCAGTGCCCAGCATTCTGGGTGGGAAGAAGTGACAGAGGCAGGAAGAGACACAGGAGAAACAAGTTTACGAAAGCAAGCAGAAAGAAAGTGCGGGTCTAGTGCGGGAGTGAGGGCTGCAAGTGTAAAATATGGATCGAGGTGGACGAGGACCTACCAATCTTGATCTATGGCAATATGAGGTTGGTGACGCGTTGAGATAAGAGCAATTTCTGGAGGAGAGGAAAGGTCTGATTGGAATAATCAAAGGAATAGAAGACAGGAATTGGAGACAGCCAAGATAAACAGTATTTCCAGGGTTACAGCTATTAGGCTAATGGAGAACAAATGGGAATATCCAGGAGACTAAAGGGTAAAGAGAGGGAGCTTTTTGTTTTGTTGCTTTGTTTTGCTTTTTTTTTCCTAAGAGTGAGAGATGTGCAGTCATGAACAGGGAGGGGTAGAGAGAGAGAGAGAGAGATTGAATCTCAGGAGGGGTCATGCTCAGTGCAGAGCCCAGAACAGGCTGAATCCAGCCTGAGCTGAAATCAGAGAGATTGGACACCTCCAAAGGACTGAGCACCTGGGGCACACTCCTCACTCCCTTTTTTAGAGTGTGTTGTTTGTATGCGCTATTTGAAGAGAGAGAGAGAGAAGAGAGGGAAGAGAGAGCACACTCACAACACAGAGAGCAGGAATAGAATCTTGGAAACATCTCAACAACAGAGCCCCATGCAGGGCTCTGATCTCCCTAGACCCCTGGAATCCCTAATCTGAGCTGAATCAAGAATTGGATGCTCAGGGTGCCTGGGATGGCTGAGTGCAGTTAGCTGTCCTGACTTTGTCACTCAGGTCATGATCTCACAGTTTGTGGTTCGAAGTCCGTCGGGCTCGTGCTCACAGCTTGGAGCCTGGAGCCTGCTTTTGGATTCTGTGTCTGCCCTCTCTCTCTGCCCTCCCCACTCCACTCTGTCCTCTCTTTCAAAAAAAATAAATAAACAAAAAAAATTTTAAAAATAAAAAAATTGATGCTTAAAGGGGTCCAACCAAGGGCTCAGTTAGTTAAGCATCAAACTAGCCAGCGTCATGATCTCACGCAAGTCCATGAGTTCAAGCCCCACGTCAGGGGCTGTGTGCTGACAGCCTCCCAGAGCCTGGAGCCTGTTTCCACCTGTGTTCTCCCTCTCTCTGCCCTCCCTCACTCTGTGGACTTCATCTCTCTGTGTCTCAAAAATAAACATTAAAAAAAAAAAAAATTGGATGCTCAACAGATTTGAGCCATCCAGGCAAGCCATGTTTTTTATTTAAGTTAGTTATTTTGGAGAAAGGATAAGACAGCACATGTTTTAAGTGTGGGGGGGCAGAGAAAGAGGAGAAGATTTATCAAAGCAGTTTTGAGCCTCAGATGCAGTGCTAGATGGGGTTCAACTTAACATCGAAAGTGAGATCCATACCTGAAGCCAAAAGCAAGAGTCTGGCAGCAACATTGAGCCACCCAGGCGCCCCACCCCCCATTTTTTGCTTTTTTTAAACTGCTTTATTAACTTCACAATATATAATGAGTATCGTTCCATGCAATAGAGTAAAACTCCCCTGCTGACAGAATCTTACAGACTGGGTCAAAATATAACGTTAAAAGTGTGCCTGGCTGGCTCAGTCGGTAGAGCATGTGACTCTTGATCTCAGAGTCGTGAGTTCAAGCCCCATGTTGGGCATGGAGCCTACTTAAAACAAAAGCAAAACCCACATTCAATTAGAAGCTGGTTGGGGCACCTGGTTGGCTCAGTTGGTTAAGTGTCCGACTTCAGCTCAGGTCAAGTTCTGTTTGTGAGTTTGAGCCCCACATTGGGCTCTCTGCTGTCAGCATGGAGCCCACTTTGGATATTCTGTCTCCCTCTCTCTGCCCCTTACCTGCTCGCTCTCTCTTTCAAGAATAGGGGTGCCTGGGTGGCTCAGTCGGTTAAGCATCAACTTCAGCTCAGGTCATGATCTCACAGTTTGTGGGTTCAAGCCCCGTGCCAGGCTCTGTGCTGACAGCTCAGAGCCTGCTTTGGATTCTGTGTCTCCCTCTCTCTCTTTGCCCCTCCTTCGCTTGTGCTCTGTCTCTCTTTCTCAAAAATAAATAAACGTTAAAAAAATTTTTTTAAAAACCAAAAATAAACATTAAAAAAAAAAGCTGATAACAGGAGCCCCACAAGAAACAGGTAACACCAAAAGGTTTACAATCAAGGTACATCGTGAACATGTAAGTTTAGGAAGCAGGTGCGTCTTCTTATGGACTTGAGGGAAAACATCAGGATTTAAGGCATAAGGCAAAACTCATCATGATGGTCACAGTGAGGAGGGTCAGTGCTAACTGCTCGCAGGCCATAAGTGAGTTGCTTTTCCCTCTGATGTCTCACTTCCTCCTCAATCCTTCTCAAATTCTCTTCTCTTACCCTTGCCTGTGGCTCTCCAAGCCTCTGACTCCTGTCTCACCTATACTGCAGGATAGAATGGCCTATGATTTACTCTAGGCTCATGATACTCACCAGCTTCCAAAGGGAGGGCTGGGGACCCTCAGGGCCACCAGGAGCAGGTACTGAGAAGGGAGCGATGGCAGGGTTTCTGTTTCGGTTTGGTTTTAATGGGAGAAATAACGATAAAGGAGAATGATCTGGCAAAGAGGAGAAAATGGTTGGTGCAGGAGAGGGAAATTGCTGGAGGGATACAACTTTGAGTAGACAAGATGCAGGTGTAAGTGGAGGATTGGCCTCAGCTGGCAGTCTGGACCGTCCAGTGTCACAGGTGGGAGGCAGGTGGTCAGTTGGGAGTGAGGATGGGGAACAGGTGGGGATGCATGGAGAAGGACTGGTGATCTTCCAAGAGGGCGAGAGAATAAATGGACGGTGGCATCGCAGGTGGCCCGAGGGCCGTGGTCATGGTGTAGTTGTGAGCTTTCCCTCTAACATGTTCAGCTGTGCAGGGCAGACATGGATTGGGTCGCGGGTGGCATCTGAACTGAGCCAGGAGAGGGAGGTCTAAGGGAAGCGTATTCTAGGCAGTGGGAACAGCACCGGCAAATGTCCAGCGGTGAGGGGCAGCTTGGTGTCCAGAGGAAGAGAAAGAAGCTGATGTCGCTCAATCATGGTGAGTGACAGGGACAATGGCCTGAGATGATCAGGGCCAGACTGTGCAGAGCCTTCCAGGGCATAGTAAATTCTGTGGCATTTTTTTTTTTCCTAGATGTGATGGGAAGTTTTGGAAAGCTAAGCGGGGAAGGGACTTACCCCAATTTAGTTTAGTTTTTTTTTTTTTT